TTTCAGCTGGGATAGTCATTTTTCTTCCTAGTACCTGGTACAGTGCTGTGTTTTGGATTTAGTCTGAGAATGATGTTGATAACACACTGACATCTTCAGTTGTTTCTAAGTAGTGTTTCAACTTAAGTCAAGTACTTCTCAGCTTTTCATGCTCTGACGGCAAGTGGACTTGAGGGCTCAAGATACTGGGAGGAGACACAGTCAGGACAGCTGACACAAACTGGCCAAAGGGATGATGCCATGCTACGTATACTATGGGGAAAGATGGCTGGGGGCCACTGGTCAGGAACTGGTTGGGCAAATGGTGAGCAATTGCATTGTTCATCACTTGCTGTGTATATTCTAATTCTGTTATCATTGTTACTATTTTCTTCATTTTCTGTCCCATTAAACTGCCTGTATCTCAATCCACAGGCTTTCTCGCTTTTACTCTTTCGATTCTCTCCCACATCCTACTGACGGCAATGAGAAGGTGGTTGGGGGGAGGTGGGGCTTAGTTGCCGGCTGAGGTTAAACCAAGCCAGTCACTCAAGTGGTGGAGCAGTGCTGTCTGTGGCTTTGATCTGAGGGCTTTAGAGAACCCCCTCATTGAGGTTTTCTGCCTTCTCCATTGTTCTCCAGACAAAGGCACTGAAGGTAAAATAAGTAGATTGCTCTGCAATGAAGGTAAAATAAATAGATTATTCTTCAGAGCTTCTCAAAGGGCATTTCCCACCCCTTCTGTGAATCCTATGATTCTTAGTATTGCTCTTCACCCAGATAATGTCCCTCAGTTAGGGGAACTCATAGTCGTTTTTCAGCCTCAAGGTCTGAACATAGTTTTTTTCAGGGCAGAAATGGCTTCCTTCAGACACAGTCATCCAAGAAGACTGGCAATTATGGATATGCGCAATGGATTGCTTTGGGTAGGTGTCTCTGGAATGGGAGATCATCATTCCCCTGGGTTCTCAGCCATGCTGCTGTGAATAGAAAGCTGAAATGCATCGCTGTATGTGGTATCAAATGAAAGAGAAATCGGTAGAAGGAATGCTATGGTTGAGAGATATCACCTACCTTAAATCTATTTTAGCAGTGGGAGCTCTGTAGTTTAGCATATGTTGCACATAAAAATGGAAATCATGGTTTCCAGTATAATTTGATTTTTAAGATATAAAAATTATCTCAGCCTAATAATGCACATGGAAAACATGTGTTTATTTCTGATTTTCATCCTGTGTTAGCTGCCAAGTCCCAGTTAGTAGGGTATAAGGGCAGAAAGATGTTAATGGGACCAGCTAATACAAGTGAACTAGGTTTTTCTCTCCCATAGGTTTCTGTATCTCTTCTTGTCATCGTTCAGACAGAGCAAACACCTTATGAGAGAAGAGGGTTTTGCCCTAAAGCAAATACTCAGAACTGGTAAAGATGAGCCTCTCTGTAGGATGAGCTTCAGCAGAACGAAACGTGTGATTAACCATTTCACAGGCTGGAGGTCAGAAGCAGAATCTGAGGAGCTGTAACGTCAGGAGCAAACTGTGCTACTACTCACAGGTTGGAAAAAACAGGTACACAAGACAGTTACACCAGGAAGACACTTAGGTCTACAGCAGTCTGATGAAGTTAATACATGGAAGCAATGCATAAACCCTGAACACCTGAAAATTGCAGCATAAGTTATATTCTGGCAGTGTATTGAAACAAGTTGTCAGTTGCTGTGAAACTCCAGCATGTTTTCTTTCTTTATATGCCTCAAGGAAGGCCATTAGGGATTTTGACTGTGGAGGAGAACAGCTGCAGGAACACTAACAGAAATATGTATTTGGAACAAGGACAGGAGGAAATGTACTACCCTGCTTACTGTACCTGCATTGGCTGCATATTGCTCTCTCTTGCATTAGAGGTTTTATTATTATCTCTTTGTTGTCAGCAAGGACAATTGCCTGCAAACACGCCTGCTGCTGGGCACTTTGGCACTGATGTAATTCCAAGAAAATGAGAGCTTCAGTAACAATAATAGGCTATTAATCCAGATAATAACCAGTGTACTGTGCACCAAGGACACAACCTGTTTGTGTTGCAGTCCACTTACCTCCCCTGCATGACTAGTACCTCTCTGGGAGATAGATCACTGTGTCCACCTCTCCCTAATGCAGTTTGTGGCAGAGCCAGTGGCTGGCAGGTTTGCTCATTTCCAGAAGTGTCTGCTTACAAGTTCTTCTGCACTGGGGTCTATGACTTCAGCCGTACAAGATAAGCTGGAGCAGGTGGCAAAGCATGTATGCCAATATATTGGCATACATACATGCCAATGTATGCATACCAATGCATTGTTTCTATTTGCCTTCTGTAAGGCCGGAGCGGTAGAGCTTATCAGGGCAGGTGCAGCAGTGGGTGCATGTATGTAGTGTTACCTTTCCTTTGGCATCCAGTCTTTGGCACAAACCCACTGTGAGATGACTGAGGATGCCCTGTTGCACCAGTTGCTCTTTGCTTCCTTCATGATGCCTGGTGGTGCCTACAGAGCAGACCCTCATTGCTGTTCTTTTTGGCTGCCAAGTGATAACAAAAACAGCACCTGATAACAGAAACAGTGCCCATTGTGCTGTCAGCTGGGGCAAACTGACCTCACCTGAATACTGAAGGAGAATTGATTTGATATCAGTCCCTTACACTGCTCTTTTCCATATAAATAAAACTTCAGAGACAGAACCTGACTTATGCCAAGACAGATTCATTCCCATTTAGCCAGGGCTGTGGATTTACTTCTAGATAGGGCTCCTTCCCACTGCCCAAGTCTTATGAGGTGTGAAAAAAGGCCTGAGCCCTTCATTCTCTGACAGTTGCCTGTCTCCACTTGCTGGGGTACCCCTTGTGACAGTATTTATCTTGGATGCTGGGGAGTGTTGGGAGCAGAGAGGACAGCAGTGTGTAGGGGCCCAAAGCAGCATGAATGGGGCTGAGGACAGGGCAGGTTTAGCTCTACCATTCTTGGTCTTGTCCTTCTGAGGACACAAAACCTTGGCAGGTTTTAAAAAGGTTTTTAGCAGGATAGGTGTTGTTGGGGAGAGGCTGTCCAGGAAATACGTTTTTTATGAAAAATTGTTCATTAGCAATAATGAACCCTAAGGAATTCTCATTGAAAGCATGCTAAGGCACATGAAAATCAACAAGGTGCTTGGTGACAGCCAGCATGGCTTCACTAAGGGGAAATCCTGCCTGACCAATTTGGTGGCCTTCTGTGATGAGGCTACAGAACTGATGGACGGGGTAGAGCAGTTGATGTCATCTACCTGGACTTGTGTAAAGCGTTTGACACTGTCCCACACGACATCCTTGTCTCTAAGTTGCAGAGACATCAATTTGATGGGTGGATCATTCAGTGGATAAAGAACTGGCTGGATGGGTGCACACAAAGAGTTGTGGTCAATGGCTCAATGTCCGGCTGGAGACCAGTAACGAGTGGTGTCCCTCGGGGATCGGTGTTGAGACTGATCGTGTTCAACATCCTTGTCACTGACATGGACAGTGGGATTGAGTGCGCCCTCAGCAAGTTTGCCGATGACACCAAGCTGTGTGGTTCGGTTGATACCCTGGAGGGAAGGAATGCCATCCAGAGGGACCTTGACACACTTGTGAGGTGGGCTGATGCCAACCTCATGAAGTTTAACCATGACAAGTGCAAGGTCCTACACCTGGGTTGGAGCAATCCCAGGCGCAGCTACAGGTTGGGCAGAGAAGAGATTCAGAGCAGCCCTGTGGAGAAGGACTTGGGGGTGTTGGTTGTTGAGAAAGTGAACATGAGCCAGCTTCAGTGTGTGCTTGCAGCCCAGAAAGCCAGTCTATCCTGGGCTGCATCAAAAGGAGCGTGACCAGCAGGTCGAAGGAGGTGATCCTGCCCCTCTAACTCTGCTCTTGTGAGACCTCACCTGGAGTATTGTGTGCAGTTCTGGTGTCCTCAACATAAAAAGGACATGGAACTGTTGGAACAAGTCCAGAGAAGGGCCACGAGGATGATCAGGGGGCTGGAGCACCTCCCGTATGAAGACAGGCTGAGGAAGTTGGGGCTGTTCAGCCTGGAGAGGAGAAGGCTGCATGGAGACCTCATAGCAGCCTTCCAGTATCTGAAGGGGGCTATAAAAATGCTGGAGAGGGACTGTTCATTAGGGACTGTAGTGATAGGACAAGGGGTAATGGGTTAAAACCTAAATAGGGAAAGTTTAGATTGGATATAAGGAAGAAATTTATTTACTGTGAGGGTGGTGGGGCACTGGAATGGGTTGCTCAGGGAAGTTGTGAATGCTCCATCCCTGGCAGTGCTCAAGGCCAGGTTGGACAGAGTCTTGGGTGACATGGCTTAGCGTGAGTTGTCAGGGGGGTTGGAACTAGACGATCTTAAGGTCCTTTCCAACCCTAACTATTCTATGATTCTATCAATTTCTGCTTTTCAGTCAGTTTCTGGTATAGGCTTTGCTGAAAATCATTGTTCTGAGTGGGAAGTAAAATAGTTTTTAGGATTTTATTTTATTTATTTTTTTTTTAATGTAAGGTATAAAATATATCAAAAAAATGGATTTACTAACACTTTTGACAGATGTTCAAATGCTGACTAATACAGCATGTTAGCCTGGAAGGAGGTGTTTCAAATATCCAAAAAAGTTTTTCTTGCATGTTGTAAGATAATAAGTCAAGCTCTATGGAGCTAGTTTTGTCTAGCAGTATCTCATAGCATCTCTTTTCTAATTGTTGATAAGCACCCCAAATATAATTACTTGTAAAAGAAAAAGTAATAGTAAATGAACGTTGGTTTGTTTTTTTTCATTTGTTTTTTCAAGCCCTACAGATAAGGCAGTGAAGTACTTGCTTGTGGAAGGGGAAATACGTGGCAAGGAAATGTGCCATTACTGCTCCAGGCAGGAGTGCAGAGGGTATTTAATATATTTTCTCCTTCTCTTGTTCACACCAGTCACATTACACCAAGGCCTGCTGTGGTAATGAAGGATTTTAAACCCTCTATTCAATAGTGGCTGCAGTAGAGGCAGGGATCAACCATTGCCAAGCAGCAGGGTAAGACAACACAAACCAACAGAGCACAGCTGTCAACACCTCTGTGTGTCTGTATGTGTATGTGTGTGCGAATTCACTTCTGATATAAAGCTTAACACAGTCTTTACTTCAAACTCTCCACCTCCAGTCTAAATTTTAAGGCATCCCAGATGTGACTCTGTGACTTGTAGCATTGTCGTGGTTTAAAACCAGTCAGGCAGCTCGTTCACTCACTCGCCCCCCCCTCTTCTTTCCCTCCCCCTACTCCCCGAGGGATGGAGAGGAGAATCGAAAAGAATGCAACTCCCACAGGTTGAGATAAGAACAGTTTAGTAACTAAGGTATAACACAAATTACTACTGCTACCACCAATAATAATAATGATAAAGGAAATAACAAGGGAAGAGAATAAAACACCTCATCACCAGGCGACTGACAACTCGCTCCCCCAGCCTGATCAAGACCGACCGATACCTAGTCCAACCCTGCTGTCCTAGCCCTTCCGGGTAACTCTCAGTTACCTCCTGGGCATGATGTGCTGTGGTATGGAATACTTCTTTGGTCAGTTTGGGTCAGGTGTCCTGTCTCTGCTTCCTCCTGGCTTCCCCTCCTCCCTTGCAGAGCATGAGGCTCAGAAACTCCTAGGTCAGACCAAAACATCATTGTGATCAGCTCTGTTCCCAGGCCAAAAGTCAAAACACAGCACTGCACCAGTTACTAAGAAGGAGAAAAATGACTGCTGCTGCTGAACCCACGACAAGCATACACCAACTTTGGTTTTTGTAGCATGTGCCTGACCTTGTCGCTTGTCCCATTTTGCAGACATGAACGTCTCAAGACAATCACCATTGTCAACTCTTAATCTATTTGTAAAGTTTTTTGGTTTTGGAGGGTTTTTTTTTTTGTTTGTGGGTTGTGGGGTTTTGTGTTGTTTTTTTTCCCCCATTGTTAAAGCTCTGTTATGGAAAAACTGTCCTGAGGTCACACCTTTAGGGTCAGCAAAATGCCTCATAAAAAATGTCATGATTCACTGTGGAGGATGACTTTCTGGGGCTACTATGGAAGAAACAGTAATGTCTATTGCAACCTTTTATAACTTGTGAAGATGGAAAGTTCAGGTGATTAGTGGAAAATTTTAACATTACTAATCTTGTTTTGCTGTTATTTATTGAAGATCATTATTTTGTTTAAAAGAATCACTCATCCAATGCCAGACTAAGAAAAAGCCAAACACGTTATAGCTGGCAAGGATGACAGACTGTGCAGCCTGAAGATTAAATGGGAAGGTGCCAAACTAAAGAACGGTGTTCAAAACAACCTGTGAACAAATGTATCAGTAAAGAAAGGTAGGGGAAATTGGCACAAACAGGACCACAGGTCTCCAGACATATACAGCTCCAGGAAGTTGTCTGGTGGATTCACAATGGGCTACAGATGAAAAACCCTGTTTAAATTTTAAGATTACTGGAACACAGGTGTTTTCCTCACTCTGTGTATGCACAGCACATAGCACAGTGACATGGCAAGAGGCAGTTAGTGCTGCTTGAGCGTTTACACTGAAGAGTAGCACTACACATCCTCATTCAAGCCAGAGCAGGTAGTTAAAATACTATTTTCACAGCCATAGCAAGTCCAAGAAAAGTAAGAGAGAAGGTGCCAAGCAAAATCACACCCTGTTAAGTCTTTTTATTAGTATTTATTCTTATCACTATTACTCATACTTAAACAACTCAATTACATAGTGATCTATATGGAGAGTTCTGTATCAGTATCATAAGGTGAGAAAGTATACACACCACAGAGAAACATTCTGTAGATACAGTGAAGTAGAACCTTTGACAGAAGGGATTATTTCCGAAAGCCTATGTACAAATAAGGTAACTTTCATACTATATACAAACTTACATTCAGAGAATATACTGATTCAGAGATACAAGAGTTTCATTTAGTGAATGATGAGCCATACACATAAACACATGAGAAGAAAACCTGTAATTTTCAGGGGATTGCCTGGACTGGCTTCCATGGCAATGTTTCTTTTTAAAGTTTGAAATGAGTAGGATGGTGGACTTATTCAGATTTTTCTTACAGTAACTTGGGAGATAAAAGAGTATGAAAATTACGAATTGGAGCAAGCTAAAAAAGCCTTTTTATAAAAATAGCATCTGATTGTCAGTTACAACACACTACTATTATTTTCACATTACAATATAGTGGCCTGATCTTGCCATCTTAAGAGACAGAAATAATTTCTGTTCATGTCAGTCAACTCCCCAGTGTCAGGATTGAAAAATCAAAACTGTGTAACAGAAATCTTGATAATGGAAATGAACACAAAAGCAAGCAAAACCCCTTTGGCATTACTTAATTTGTATGAGGGATTGAAAGAAATGGTTAATTTCTGTTGGATAGCCTGACCCTGAAAACTTCAACTCTTTTGTAAAACAGTTATGACAGAAGTAACTCATGTCTTATAAACATACTAAAATATGAGTAGCTTCCTTTACTGTGATCTCAGTGGGAGAAAGCATTAGAATAACAGCATGATTTAATTGCTTCATTGGGCCTGACTCTGCAAGCATTATGTTCCTTCTTCTAGGGTGAACAAGGATTGATCCCCTGCTGCAAAGGCAGTGTGCAGCATTTTGTACAGTCCCACAAGGAAGCTCAAGAGTATGAGCAAATTCCCCAACTTACTCACAGCTTCACTAAGGCAAAACCAGATCCTGCTTTACTGTACATTTATTTGACATTATTTTACATTATACCTTAACAGAGATGTGAAATTGATTTTTTACTTTAAAATTAATGATCCCCTTATTTAGAAACCCCATACTAATCTTCTGGGTTTTTTTATGGCTTCTTTTTGCTTTAAGACAACTATGTGACATAAAATAAAAATAAATGAAAAAAAAGAACAACCCACAGTAAAGTGCAAGATCTTAAAAAACACGTAAAAATTTGTTTGGATTAGTGGATAATAAATCCACATGAGAGTTCATTTACCAACTCGAATTATATTATTTCTTATTCAGTTTGGTCCTGGGCCACTTACTGCTCCTGTAGGAACGATGTGGCCAGTTGTGTGTCTCAGCTACTCATGCTTCAAGTGGTTTCTAGGCTGGGTCTTACCTGGCTGGCTGGGAGCATGGGCTCAGGGCCATGCTAATGTGGTTATGTGGCTTTTGGAGAACACATGGCTTACGTCCAGCCAAGCAAAAGCATGGGCAGGAGAAGATGCAAACTATCATCTGCACCCATCCAGGCAGACAAGTCCTGAGATTCCACACACTGACAACTAGCAACAGCAGATCCACAGGATAACTTGTCTGGACTACAGCACTGTGATCCATATATGACTTCTGTATCTGATGAGGGCACTGAGCTGGATAACTTCACTCTGGAAAAATTACTCTCCCAGTCCTGATGTAAGTGACAGACAGATATCTCAGTACTGATATTCTTGTAACTGATGGCAACAGATCCAAGAAAGATCATTTTAACATCAATCAGAAGTTTGTAGGGCTGGAGCAGGATTCTTCTCCACACTGCCAAGTGCAAGCTATCTCATTTGCTAATCTCAAAATCATTTTTTCTAGCTGCAAGTTATTGCACTAAACTTCCCCGGAATAGCAGGAAAACAAGAATCACCTACTTAAAGGAACTAACCATGCCTCTTTCTCAGTTAGTTGTGTCATTGTTATTTACAAGAGGTAAAATGGTTTCCAAGAATACAAGTGAATCCAATTTTTCTGTTTGCTCATAGATCCCAGGACAATTACGTTTGTTATGCAAATGCATTTATGAAATACGGACTGCTATAATAAAAATCTGTATCTTCCCAAGTCAATGGCAGAAATCTTTGGGATTTCAGTGGGCCAGTTGTTGGAGAAGGGATTATTTCTTTGCTATAAATTAAATAAATCTACCTGATACAGATTCATGTTTGATTCAAAACACAATTTATATGGACCACAAGTTGCTATCTTAAGGAATTACTGCTGAAAGAAGAATAATCAAAAAATGTTGTATATCCCCATTTTTGTAAAACACGTAATGAAAGACAACCAGAGAAATAATCCCTTAAAAGACACCCAAACACTAAGAATATTTCTAAGCATCTACTAATTTTATACAGTACTTGGATTAATCACATTTAACCTACTGCACTATGGACCTTCATATCCACACACAACAGTACCATAAGTGACAACGACCATAAACTACTTCAGAGTAGCATATTAGGAAATTACAAGGTAGGTTCATCGCCATTACAAACACCAAAGGACATCTAAGTAAGCTGCATTGTCACGCACTGTGCTTTATGCTTCATGGTTATGCAGAAAGCCACATCAATGGAATGAATAAGCAGAGGCATACAGACTCAGAGAGCCTGTCTGCACTACAAGCACTAGCTTTCAGTAAAGCAGTTAATCTAAACTATACTGAGCCTTGCTGAAAGATTTTGCCATGTCTATATAAGAACGCTGTTCTTGAGATCATCCTCTTACCACTCTCTTTATCACAGTTTTATAGCATTTACCCTACAGATTTGACCATGGTGGCTTCTGGAGAGAGAAGTCAGGGTGGCTTTTTTTTCATTTCTTTTTTAGTGGAAACCTGTGAGTACTCTTCAAACTCCAGTGGTATTTTGTACAGCTGGGGATATTTTCTTCATTAATTCCAATGAAGTTAGTGCAGCAAATCTTTAATTGCAATCTGACCCACGATCCTACCCAAATGCTACTGGAAATCCCTTCCAAAAACAATGTCCAAAATTGGTTCTCTGCAGGTGTTATGGTGCCACAGAGCTGGCTGTTTAACCTGATTTTGCAGTTTATCTTCCTTGCTGTGTTGCCAATCTGGTGTTGCTGGCCATAAGGTCATAAAAACCCCCAAACCAACCCTCACCCCCCCCCCCCCCCAAAAAAAAAAAAACCCAAACCCAAACCCCAAAAAACAAACAGAAAACTAACCAAAAAAAAAAAAAAAACAAAAAACCCCAAAACCTCAAAAAACCAAAAATCAAACCAATCAACCAACCAAAAACCCAACAGAAAAAGAGTAATTTACTGAACAGAGCTCTACTCTTGCCCTTCCCTGGTTTCTAGATTTGAAATGTCAGGCCAGTGAATTTGGATATCTTAGTTTATCGTAAGCACCTATATACACAGAACTATCATGATCCTGCACACGCTCTTTTAGTTTGCTCTGTTTTGTTCTGCACACTTGGGAAAAGGATCACCTGTTTTGAGCTTTGGCATCTGAAATAAAAGCATTTGGTGACTCCTCTGGAACAGATTACACAGCGGAGTCAGCTCTGTATTTTTGGGACACTTGCTCCTTTTGAGGTCAGAATTTGGGTTAGAGCTGCTTTTGAAAGATTGCTGTTTCAGTCAGTAGAGGGCACTGTAGATACACATAGAGAGAGGTGTGAGAGGTGCGGGAGTATACACCGTCCCCTCAGTCTTCCCATGGTGTACACCCGCCGAAACAAATGTCAAGAGGTGGACAGCATAATCGTTAAGACAGGTAAGGATTCTGGAGCAATGAAATATCTTAAATACACAGCCAACTTTTTGCTCACAATGAAAGAAGCTCACACTAACAAGTGCTAAGAAGCAAGAGTTGTTGCAAACGTTAAGGTTAAGATCAAACACTGATTCTGAACATAACTAGGACTTGATACCTCAGGACAAGACATGAGTAGCAGGCTTTGTAACTCCTAGTTTTCTTGCTATATTACTTTTTTTTTTTTCATGATACCACATGATATTAACAATTTAGTAATTTTATTATGTATTTTTTTAGTTTCCTCTACCATTGTTTTCTGTCAAGTCCTCATCTAACCAGATACTGTTACATAAAAACACATATAACAGGAAAACAGTAAATGACAAAGGAGGTGAGTGAGAAGCAAACAGCATGGAACACAGAAAAACAGACAAGACAAAATGTGCTGAGCCTTCTGTTACACAGCTGTGAGCATGGCATTGCCATTGTGAGCACGGCATTGCCATTGTGAGCACAATATGAATACAAAGCAATGCTGAATCAGGTCACAGAAATGTGCTGAAATTTCATGAACTCTGAACTGCACAGATAACTTGAACAAACAAATGATGATTATCACAAATATTTTCATAACACTGGTTTCAGTCCTCCTTTTTTGTTTTTCTTTGTTTGTTTTTGTTTTTGTTTTGTTTTGTTTTTAAAATAATCCAAACTACAGGAAAGACAAACACTTTGTTGCTTTCTCTCTCCTTACTTTTTTTGTTCTAGGTTGGGACCTTCTTCACTCAGGATTTCAGTAAAATAATATTGTATTTTCACTCCTTCCTTGGCTTCTTCAGACACTCACACTTTCAGCAATACTGGAAAATAATTATGTATGTTTCCTGCAGTTCCACTATATTTAAATTGTTAGTTTCTCCTACCTAGTTTCAAGATTTATAAGAGCAAAGAGCAAAAGATATATAAGAGCTCCAGCTTTGTACATCAGCTGGGAATCTCTTCCAGCAATAGCTACATGTAGCTGTGAAGGTCCTTATACTCCAAGTAATAGTGAAAGCCTGTAAAATATATATCTACTTCAGCAATTAGGCTGTCACTTTTCAACTAACTCTATTTTCTGTATGAAGTACTACGCATAAGCAAATTAACCTTTTTCTTCTGGCATGTAAAGGCAAACTCATTATGATAACAGCATCCAAATATTATTATTGCTTGTATTGCTGCAAAAAATGTTGTGTTCACACAGTAGCTGTATGGTGTCTGCATGTTGCGTAACTATTAAAGACAGAGTATCCCCATTCTCGTCTTTGCCACTGCATTGCGTTGAATGCAGTTAAAAAAATGCACAAGTTACAGCACTAATCACAAAATGGCCAGGCCCAGCTAGTGTGGCCCCTTCAGTGCCAGAGCAAGAGTTTCTGGAATCTGAAGAGTTTTGCAAGATGTAATAAACCACCACTAACATCCTGATAATTGCCTTTACGGACCTGCTATACAGAGGATGAAACTATTTACAAATACCCTGTCCTTGCTGAAATCACATCATATAAATTCACTTACAGGAAGAGACGCTTCTCTCCCCTGTCTGCTACTCATGCGCTTGGTGTATGCTTTCCACTCAGGAGTTTCAGCAGGTTATCAGAAAACTCCCACACCAGGGTGTGTGTGGGGGTGATGTTTTCATAAATTTAGTATTAACATTCCCTTACAAGATCAAAGGTTTGAGAACTGAGCACACTGTGTATGTATCTGTGTATACTAAAACAGAGAATGAGAATTCTGTGGATAGGTACATACGCATAGGAGAAGCTGTAGCTTTCACTGTTTCCGTGCATGAGGAGCATCTCTGGTTCTGAGTGGTGAGGATGCTCTGCAGCAAAGAAAACCTCAGCGCAGCTGGACTCAGTCCTTCACTTGTGATTGGATTGTCCAACAGCAGTCAGTCTTCAGCTCTGGGATCCATCCTTTGTATCCTATTCTTTCTTTCTCTCTTTTAAAAATGGGTGAGAGGAAATTTAGGAGTCCATAGGCTATTCTCACAGAAACTTTCCATTGTGGGTTTTTGCTGTTTCATATTGATGTATATATATATTTAAATAAATATATGTGGGTTTGGATGAGGGGAGGGTGGTTTGGTTTTTGTTTGTGGTTTTGGTTTGGTTTTTTAATTTTTGTTTGGCTTTGGCTGTTTTCTTCAGTTGTTTATTTTTTGGTTGGTTGGTTTGAGTTTTTTTCCATTTTTTTTTTTTTTTTTTTCTCGAAACAGCATTTTTCACTAGATGGAGACAGGACACTGGATCACTTTGTCCTCCAGGAGGACACTGACAATCAGAAACACAAAATAAAGCCCAAACATGAGGAAACCCAGGAACTTATTCATCCTCCACTTGCAGAAAGCAATCGAGAGGATGACAAAGAGCAGCATGATGAAAAGGAGGACAATTGCACAGAACAGACCGTTGCTGCTGACTGTCACTGGGGCAAAGCTGTTAATGACAGCGTACAGGAGCCATGGAAGAGGCAGGCTGTTAAGAAATAAAAAAATAAATGTGAACCATTGCAGAGGTGCAGGAAAAGTCACGAAAAAGCTTCTGGGGACACTTCAAAATACCACCAGAGGCTTCCTGCAGAAAGAGAGGCAGGAAGAGTTTCAACTCTTCTAATACGTACACAAATCTGATTTGTTAGCTTGCTCGTGGTTCCCAAGGAGAATACACAGGATTTAGGCTCTCTACTCTTCCACCAGTTACATTGGTGAATTCTATTTCCCTTGGCCGTCAAATCACCTGGAATCCCATCTGTGAGCAGGAAGACCCCTTTCATTTGTTTTTAGATTTCAGACCATGTGTGGAAGAACTACTTACACTCTCTTTCCAAGAGTCTGCGTGACAGGACAGTAGGTCACATAAAGACACATCCTTGCCAAAAAGAACCATCACTTTGTAAGGCAATTTGTCCTATAAAAGCTTTGATCCACATTTATGGTATAAACTCTATGTAAAATGCGAACTTCAAATGAACTCCAGCTTAATTTCTATTTCTGTATTTGCTGTCATTGCATTTCTCATCTCTGATGCCACAGAATGAGGCAACATCCCTCTGGAAGATGTCAAGCTGAAATAAATATTTAAGCCACTGATCAGAGCTTAGCAGGCTTAGGAAGCATGAAGAAGGCTGTCAGAAGCTTACAGCATTCAGCCTTTGAATAAGCAGTTCAAGAGAGAATAATTTGTTACAGCTTCAATACTAACTACACCAGACTACAGCTCAACTGTGCCATTTCTGATGTAAATATACCAGGTTTAGCAGATGTGTACAGGACAAGAACATTTACATTGGCAGGAAGACTACAAATTTTAAGAAAATTAAGAAGGTACGGCAAAAGAGAAAAGTTTTGCAATGCACCCTATGCACCCTTTTGCAATGCCCCCTATAGATTTTGTAGTTCTGATGCTTCTGGATTAATAGAAAAAAGTAACCCATTTTTAATGCTGTGTCCAAAGGTACTGCCATTAGCTAACAGAGTAAAAAAGCCATTTACAATCCACTCTAACTTCAGGATCCCTTTCTGTATCTGTTCAGTTGCTGGTCTATTTTCAGCAGCAAGAAATAATGACCTGACTAGGCTGCTCAAAACCGTGACTATGACTAGACCTGTTCTTCTGCATGTGTGAGAGGAAACAAAAATCAAAGATGGAGAAACTGAGAGTACGGACATGATTCTCGGTGCCTCTATTCCTGTGTTGAAGATGGAAACGTGGGAATAAAGACAGTTTGTCTGTATATTTCCTGCATGGTTTTGAAACACTGAGGCATTGATCACAACATTTCTGGACCTCCTCTAACTCGGTCTCAAAAAGTCAAGACAGAATCTGAATGCCAACCATATGCCACACATTATTATGCTAGAGCTGCTGTGAAGCGGTGTATCAAAGAGTGAATTAGGCAACAAATTTGTAACAATTCTGTCATGCAAATGTCTATAAACTTTTGAGAACTTAGCACAGTAACACCCATTTCATATTTGCATCATTCTCCATTTTCAGCTTCAGTGGCACCGCTTTTCAGCATCAATTGTAGGCAACACCTTGGCAAAACCACAGCAACATGCTAAGAACAAAAGAGTTGTTAAAATAGACAATTTTCTTGCTGTAGGACTTACCCCACTGTGATGTCAAATATGTTGCTTCCAACAGAACTGGATACAGCCATGTCCCCCAGACCTTTACGGGCAACAATAACACTGGTAATAAGGTCAGGAATGGATGTGCCAGCAGCTAGAATAGTCAGTCCCATGATTTCTTCACTAATACCGATGGTCTCTCCAACCTAAAGGGTTTAAGCAAACCCAGAAAATAATAACAACAATAGTAACAACAATAATAATATCACCTGGATAATACAGGCAAGATTGAAGAATTATTCATATTCACAGATTTCTACATGTTTCAGGAGAAAGACTGTCAAATAGAACCAGTAGGTACAGACAAGCAGTTGCTGATGGCTCTGACATTACCAGAATGATCAAGTCCTACGGTCAAGACAACCACAATTCTCAGAACCTCATTTCATTTTCCGAGTAGTAATTTACTTCATCCATGGTTGTAGTTCCAAAAATAAAGCACTACTCAGCATGCAATAGATGATGGACTCTGATTCTAAATGATGTCTCACAGTGCAAAACACAATGCAGGGCTTGTATTTTGTATTTTGTTACCTCCTTACCTGATGTGCCCACCAGACCATTAAGTAAGAAAAAAATGCAATCCAGCTGATAGAGCCAAAAAATGTGATAGGAAAAAATTTTCTTGATTTCTGAAACAGAAACAGAGAGAGACAGTGAATACCTATGTTGACAGATGACATGCTGTACTTTTATTTGTTTCTCAGAACGTAACAAAAAGAGATCAAGTTAACTACTAAAGGAAGGAAACCCAACTGCAGTACTGTACTAGGCAATCATTGTCTAAATCTAATTAGTGTTTAAAATGACATATGCACTAAGAATGGGTGCTACCAGTCTTGAATGAAACCACAGTCCTTATGGGCGCTGACCTTCTGAACACAGATCCTTACCTCAGACAAGTTCTGATGTGTCGCTACTAGAGTACTACAAATTTTCATGAATAATCAGTAGGACTGCTTTTGGAAGTAAATTATACTTGTTTGAATACTTGTTCCAGCTGCTGCTCGATCCTGAACTACCATTTCCTGGTAATTCCTCACTATTCACTTCCACTTTTTTCTACAGAGGGTCCTCCAGAGCTTTTGGGCAGCACACCTTGCCTGTACCTCTCTCTATTGCAAGACATACCCCTGCAGCACCAGCAGATGCATTAGCCTGGGGGTCATTCCTAGGTGTTGTGACAGCAGACAGGACTGCAGGGCTTTCCCCAAACACGACTTTTGGAGAGAAAATATTATTTGATGTTTGCTAATTCAGTTTGCTCAAGTCATGATAAACACCTCTTTTTTTTAGAGTTTAGAGGGCTGTACAGCCATCTTTTCTTGTGTAACAGACAAAACAGCCACTTACAGAGAACAACCTAATGTTTAGGAACTGATCAGCATAGGTCCCTGGGGAGTAAGAGGTGCTCAGTGAGTTGAGCTGGTTGTTAAAGAGCTAGTAATGCAGGAATGACACTCAGCGGACCCAGAAAAGAGCAAGGCTGGTCCGCAGCTCATTGAAATTGTGTAGACTCTGCTAACGTAAACAGACTGAAATGAGGTCATTACTAATGGGAAAAAGGTAAAAGTCAGCAATAGCAGTTGTGCACACTCACTAACAGGACTGGACACTTAGAAGGTCCATTATCTGCTCTAGCAGCAGGTACAGCTGCGAGCTGTGCTATAGAACACTTACTCTCTCCCTGCGGGCACTTTGCCTAATGCTAAATGCCCTCCTGAAAACTGAGCTCATAAGCACTGATTAACATGACCTATACAATTCCACAACTCAATATGCGCATGAACAGACATTAAATATGAAATAGATTTAACAATGCTCGGAAAATCCCTTACATATAAATAAAAAAATTAAACTTCTGTTGGAGTAAGAAAATAATTCCAGTAGGTGTCTTAAATTAGTTATCTTTATAGGCACAAATAGCCCCAGTGGCACCTGGAAACATCCTTTTCCTTTTCGACATCTACAAATTCCATTACTGTCACAAGCACTGTTTCTAGAGATGTCCCAGGCTACTTTGGTTGACCTGCTTCTTAAATCCTTCTTAACTCTTTACAGAGCAACCAATTATTTAGAACAATCAGAGTTCTAAATCTTTATCGAATCAGAAAATCTAATGATGAGCTTCTGATATCTAAACCTACTCAGATGTACTTTTCATTTTCAAATCAAAACTTTATACGCACTGTGGAAGAGAAGACCCTAGTCTGAAAAGGAATACCGTTTGTAAGGAACACAAATTGGCTCTTGGTGGTCTGACACCAGTGTGAGTACAATTGAGTCTGGAAGGAATAAATGAACCTAGCTAGTTTTGTTTTGTATTGTTTTTTTTTTTTTAACCGAACAGCTAGCACTTCTTTTTCACCATTCTTAGTAGCCACCTCTCTCAACTTCCAACATTTTTTGTCCTCTTTGTAAAAGCTGTGATTTTCTGGCAACACATGCGGTGAAAGAGATGATGAAATTATAAGTTTGTTGTAACTGGTCACAAAATCTACACAGAGCACCTCCTAGCAATGCAATTTGAATAATCATCATACAACACTCATGATATTAGTATACATTGGCTTATGAAAAACTAATACAGCAAGAGCTGTACTGGGCAGTAATAGCTGTCTGTAAGTGTGAACATATATACCAAATGGTTCTTGCAAAATAACAGGACATTGCCTGAGTGAGACACCCACAGAATTTGGACAGCTAAGAATGACAAGTCAGTAACTTTGCATCATGTGTATTCCTAGCCTGTCTTAGCCAGTCCTCTCCCTGTAAACTTACCTGATGAGCAGCAGTTCAAGACTAAGAGTACTTAAAAGGTTTAGAAGTCTAATTACCTATTTTAAAAGGTGGAACATTTAACTCAAGAAGGGCAAAATTTAAAGCTTGTACATACTACAGGTGATGAAATCAAGACCGGGCTCCATAGGTGGTGCTATATAATCTGCTGTCACAATTTAAGCCCAGCCAGTAACTCAAAACCACACAGCAGCTCACTCCCCCTCCTCTTCCCCCCCTCTCCCAGCGGGATGGGGAGGAGAATTGAAAGAATGTAAATCCCACAGGTTGAGATAAGAACAGTCCAGTAATTAAGGTACAATGCAAAACTACTACTGCTAACACCGATAATAATAATGATAAGGGAAATAGCAAGAGGAGAGAACATAAAACTGAAAGGGGGAAAAGGAAAAGAAAACAATAAGCACAAGTGA